TTATATAAAAGGGGGCTCTAATGTGAAGGTGGAACTCTGATGTGAAGGGGGGGGGGCTCTGATGTGAGAGGGGGAACTCTGATGTGAAGGGTGGACTCTGATATGAAAGGGGGGCTCTGATTTGAAAGGGGAACTCTGATGTAGAGAGGAACTCTGATGTGAAGGGGGGCTCTGATGTAAAGGGGAGCTCTGATGTAAGGGGGGCTCTGATGTAAGGGGGACTATGATGTAAAGGGTGCTCTGATGTAAAAGGGGGACTCTGATGTAAAGGGGGACTCTGATGTAAAAGGGGACTTTGATATAAAAGGGGACTTTGATATAAAAGGGGAATCTGGTGTAAAGGGGGCTCTCATGTAAAGGGGGTCTCTCATGTAAAGAGGGGCTCCCATGTAAAGAAGGACTCTCATGTAAAGGGGGGCTCTCATGTAAAGGGGAAAATCTGATATGAAAGAAGAGCCCTGATATAAGAGGTGGGCGCTGATGTGAACGGGGGACTCTAATGTGGAAGGAGGGGGCTCTGATGTTAATGGAAGCTACTGATTTGAAGGGGGAACTCTGATATGAAAGGTGGACTCTGATGTAAAGGGGGAGCTTCCGATGTGAAAAGAGGGAGCGCTTGATGTGAAGGGAGGCTACTGATCTGAAGGGGGAACACCACTTTTTGTGTCTTTTTGCATGGGGTTCCCCCTTAAAGCCCCATTACATTGTAGACTGGGGTGCCTGAAGAGTTTTCATACTTTTACACGGTGACTGGAAAGATGTTGAGAAACGCAGGATTCTAGTGATAATGATAATGTAACATTGTATTACAATCCGTGTTATAACCTTTGTGTCTTCTCTTCTCCTTCCAGGCTCTAACTACACAAACCCTCTTCCGGCATTGGGCACCATGAACTCCACCACTGGCCTCGCCACAGAGCATATCCCCACCCCTGGCGCTGCCCTCTCCTGGCAAGCCGCCATCGATGCCGCCCGGCAGGCCAAGTTAATGGGCAGCGCCGCCAACGCCACCATATCCACCGTAAGTTCCACGCAGAGGAAGAGGCAGCAGTACATCAAGCAAAAAAAACAGGGAGCCAGCTCGGCGACACGGCCCCCGCGGGCGCTACTCTGTCTCACCCTCAAAAACCCCATCCGCCGCGCCTGCATCAGCATCGTGGAGTGGAAGTATCCTTTGTGCGTCAGTTCACGCGTCGGCCTGTGCGTTCTATAGCCACCAACAGGTTACAATCATTTTCTGGGGTGTAGTAAACCGGTCAGTCATCAATCATGATGCCGCCTGTGAGGACTTATTATCATTGAATGCTTCAGTGTAGTTTTTTATTTTAGAAAGTGCAGGAAAGGGTTAAGAAGACCCGTCAGTTTTTTTTCCCATTGGGATGATTTCCCTTCACTTCCTGTCTCAGAGACACATCAGGAAGTGAAAGGAAATACTTGGCTTTATTTTTTTAAATAACATTAAAATGCTTGTTTACATTTTAATTATTTCTTAGGAATTAATATTAAAGTTTATTTTTTCCCAAAATCCTCCTGACCCTCTTAGAAAGTGTTCGTTCCATCAGGGTGCTGGTTTTCATGGTATCACCCACTAAATTAAACCCCCTCAGGCAGCTTTCTTTTTTTTTCTCTGCATACGTGTAGCAGCACAGAGTATGGCTTCTACGTCCTTTTCAGAGAGTTTAGCAGCAAACGTCCCTTACTGATCATTGTGTTATCTCTCACAAACCAGCAGTAAATCTGTCACGCTGATGGAGGGGGACAGGCACCAGGCTCCTGATACCAAAGGCTTCCTGTTTGATCCCAATTCTACTTACAGATTTGTTTGCTTAAATTGCTCTCATTATGAAGTGATTCCGAGTCTCCGACTCTTATTTATGGAACAGGAAGTCGCCTGTGTTCTGAAAATTGCTTCCCCCAGGAGTAGAACTTTACCTCAGATTTCTGTGATGAACCCGGAAAACGTTTATCTGCGTATCTGGGAATGTTATTGGAGGTTCTTCTGTCTGGACAAAAGTTGTGATTTAGGTTTGAAGGTCCTTAAAGATGGCGGCGTTGGAGGTCTGGGACAAATGGGAGGGGTTTACCCCAAGGGGACTGTCATGCTTATTCTGGCACATGCGGGCCTGACACCGATTGACATTGGAGGAGGATCTTGGCGTGAATTGCCTCCTCCAGCCCGGCAGATGTTTTCTGTCAGCAGAGATCCCCATTAACTCTGTACTGTCCGGCGGCAGCAGCAACTTCAACCAATCAGCTCGGGTTTTGGAGCATCATAAGGGACAAGTTGCTGAAAATCCACATTCATGGTTTTTCGGTCCCCCCACCCCACCATAGCCGTCCTTCCTATATATTCAGTGTCAGGTATATTGAATAACCTTCCTTCTTTCAGATATAGAACTCCAGCCTTCCCTTCAGTCTTCCACAGCTGTACCGGTTCCTCTCCTGTTCTTACTCTGATGTCACTGCACACTGCAAGCTTCTCATAATGTGCATTAGAATCTGCAGCAAGTCAGATAGAGCCCGTCTCATTTCCTGGCTGGAGGACGCCCAGCATTATCTAGCACTTTCCTCCCCAAATTGACAGTCCCTAACCCCGCCCCTTTCATTCATTGTATTTCAGTTCTTTCAATCATGGAGGCTCAGCATCACCTGTGGGTGTTACTTAGGGTGGTCTGCATGCAAATGCAGTCTGTCTAGGAACACCCGCTCCCAGGGGTGTATCTACTGCAAGGCAAACTAGGCATTTGCCTAGGGCGGCACCAAAAAATGCTGCCCCCCCAAACCAGTTAGGTAAGAGAAAAATAAATTATATTATAAATTCTCCTGGACCTGGTGCTTCTTTGACGGGGGGACCAACATGTCCACCTATGCCGCCTACTCCGACATCTATGCCGGCTGCAGCTCCTTCCTCTTCTTGGTCAACATGCTGTGCAATGTATTGGTGTGTGTGGCTTTCATCCGGATGCACTGGCAGATCATGCGCCGGACCTCCCTGGGAAACCAGCACCCAAATCTCTGACTTCAGGCAATGGAGAAGCTTCCGCAGGACCCCAGAGCTGAGATCCAGATGGTCATCGTGCTCATCGGCACCTCCACAGTGGTGAGTCCGGGGAAGTGCAGCCTATAAGCTCCGTGCAGCCCAGTGGCCAAGGCAGAAGATGGGTAACTGCAGAATTAGAGGGCCCAGCATATTAAGGCAGAAGATCGGTGTTGCAGCTGCAAAACTAGAGACTTGCACAGCATGGCAGGGCAGGAGAGAATGGTTATTGTAGCTGCAGAACTAGGGAGCCCATCATGCCAGGAATGGAGAAGGTGGCTATTGCAAAGGTAGAACTAGAGCGTCCCGCTACGTTGATAGCGCAACCTGTCAGAATCTAGATACACCATGCGCGCTGTATCCCGCGACTGACAGGTTATGCAAAATGTCTAAAACAGGAGGGGGTGGGACTCATTTAGATTTGGGATGGGGGATGGGGGTGCTCGGGTTTAGTCTTGCCTAGGGCAGCACAAAACCAAAATACACCACTGCCCGCTCCTCCAGACTGACTTGACCCATCAAGGCATTTTGATATTTGCATATCTCCTCCCAATAGCCGGCCCACTGCTTACATTAGGGCTGAGGGCTCTTGAGAAGAGTACAGAGGTAGAGTGCTGTGATGTTTTGAGGAATCTATGTACAGC